CCGGTTAGTATAAAAACAAGTGAACTTTTTTTCATTGATTTGTTTAAAGTGAACATCAAATAGATATGTATGTATGTGTGTATATCTTCATTTCTTTACGTATTAATTATAATGTGATATATTCATTCTAAATATTTTTATCATTTAAAAATTAAATTTAATTTGCAGGTAACATAGTTTTAATGGAAATGTCTCAAAGATTTCATTTGGATCATTTATCAAAGGTTTTAGAACAAGCACTACAAGGTTGTAGAGATACACAGCTCGTTTTAGATCAAGCTGTACGAGAACATATTCGAACAGTGGGATGTGCCAGTGGATTCGGTGTTGGACCTTCACCTAGCATTCTCTAAATAATTTTCAATCTTTGGATTTTAATGTTGAAAACCAAGTATGAAATAAATTTTTATTTAAACTATATTGATTACATATTTATTTACAAATTACGACTAGATAACATAATATAAAATATATTCATACCTTACTGCTGTTGCAATAAGAACAATAGATCAATTTAAAGAACATTATTTCATAATTTATCACACGCCTTTAATTAAGATCCTTTATGTTTATTTTAATACAATAGTACTAACTTAATAAACTAAGCTGATCCTCTGTTTTCCAACTTCATTTAATATTATGAAATTGAGCATAATCAATTTGAAAATTTATTCATTATTTCATAATGAAATTAAATTCTACTCAAAATTAATACGTTATAAGTTCAAGTTAAGAACAGTTTCTGATACAAACTGGATACACAGTTTCAAAACATTAAATTCACAGTAAAAATTTAAGTTTCCTTTACATTGGCATTGTCAATTAATTGAATAATCTAAATCATGTGCATTTCATCTTAAAATTTTATCCGCTTATTCATCTATTATAATCATATTATCAGGATGTAATTTTTGTTTCGGAGCAATTTTTTTAAATTTTTGCATTGCTTTAGCTGTTTTCATTAATCCTTGAACTTTTCCCAACAATTGGGCTCTAGAGCTGAGCAAAATGTTTTTTTCAAAATTCAATTTCGATTCTACATTTGTCATGGACTTGATTTCAGTGCATGCCTGAAATATTAAGGTTTATTGAAGAAGTTTCTTATTTTGATAACATATGCTAATAGTACAATAAATCCGTAAAGTGCAAGTCTAAATTTTTCAATAACAAGAACGGTTGTGCAACTTATATCCTAAATTGATGTGTTTTCAAATCAAACTTTTATAATAATGTGTTCTAAAATCTATAGTACGTTGATAGAATACTATCAATTTTGCAACAATTAATTTTAACATTAAATCCAGAATAGTAATCTATAATATTGAACTTATACATATATCAGCCCTCAGAAAGCAACAAATATATGTGTGAGTCATATATGATTTGAACTCAGTAACAAGCAAGTTCTTTGTGTTCATCTAACTTATAATATTAGTAGTATTAAGTAAGTGTTCTCTGTTTCAGTATATGTAAAGAAATATAAAGTATTCAAATTATACTATTTAACTTCTCAAACATTTTTATTTTTGCGAGAAAATCTAAGACCAAAATCCTCACGATACGTTTGAGGTCAAAATCGAAAAAAGTATGCGAACAAAGTTTTGATTTTTTCTGAGCGTTTTCCCAAAAACGGCTGCACCGATTGCAAAAACTTGCGTCGATTACTTTTGTACGGTCAACTATCGTCAAACTATCGAGTCATCGTTTTTTGCAGAATCGTGGACCAAAAAAAATGTTTGAAAGTTGGGAATGCTACTGATCATTTCGTAATTAAATGTTTTTAGGCATTTTTAAGGAAACGGCGATTGAATCCATGGTTTAAAGACAAACATCTTAAAATATTATAGTTCTACGAAGAGTTGTTGAATTATAAAAAAATTATTAAAGTTTGAGGACTGCGCTTTTAAGCATATAAGTTCATGTTTGTACTCAATTCTGTCAACACATACATAGATATTATAAGTTTGGTAGAAACATGTCATTTGAAAATTGCATTAATTAATAGTTTTTAGTAGGTGCGAAAATTTATTCACAAAATACATGAAAATCTTATCTGAATATATAAATTTCAATTTTGATTGATTTTGTTGATTATTTACATGTAAGATTAAAAGTTCATGCATCTTTCCTCTAGGCAAAATAAAATGAAACTCTAGTAGTAGGTATTTTTGAAAAAAATTGTCTTTAATCAAAATGCATCAACAATAAATATTAAAAATAATAATTAATAATTGGATCAAAATGCTTCAATAATATGAATATTATCAATTTTTATTGAATTTATTCAACTTTCCAATCGAAAAAGTAGCTAATTCTCTGTGAATTATTTGTTCATATTTTTTGTGTATATTCCTGATTTATAAATAAAACATTTAATCTATCGCAAATCATAAATTTTAAAATTTGAATTCTTTTCATTTGATATTGAAAATTAAAAAAAATAAATTTGTATATGATTTAGTCATTAACAAATTATCTTTGAATGGCGATTGTTTTGACTTGAGTGCGTAAATTTAAAATAATTAACGATTTGTATGTAAGAATTATGGATTTAATGCCATGCCCTTAATACATTTGCATCTACTTAAAGATGCTTAAATGACAATATCTCTAATATATCGATAGATCATCTATTCAAAAAAAAGTTTCTTAATAGAATAACTATTTTAACATCAAAGAATTTACTTCAGATTTTTGGGCATATCTACCTAAACTCATTAAATAACAAAATAAATATTGGAAATATAAAAACATTTAACCCGGAAATAATTTTTAATACTTACAGCATCAGCAAGTTGTTTCCTAGAAAGTTGGCAAGAGGCTTTGAATCCAAGTGCTTGCTTAATATATCGTACAGTATAATGCTCAGCATATTTCATCGCTAGCTCTCGATCTCTCTTGTTTTTAATGTGATCATCAATATTTCTCAAATTTGATAAGTCAATCAACATATGGCTGTATATTACCTACAGAAAAAAGAATCATTGGAGTAATTGATAAATGAAATGATATGTGAAATAATTAATACACTTTTTATGCATATGTTACCATATCAAAATATTGCGATCTTATATTTTCAGAGAACATCAAAGGAATATCAGGAATCATGGACTTTGGTATTTGGTTATTATTTGGTATGGAAAGGAGCGGCAATATCTCCAAGGTATTTGATTGGAATTGAGGTTGCTATACCTGAATTTCTGTTAACAGTTTGATATAACTTATAAATCAGATTCAAGACAAATTTTTCTGATGTTTAGTTTACTACTTACAAAACTTCCTTGAAAGAGAACAGCGCTCATTTTCTTCATATTCTGAACAACATTGAATGAAGTAGTTACAGTCCAGGTGGGTATAAATGAGTTAGGCAAAAAATAGACTACTTTCCTTAGGTTTCTGAAATAGATTATTATTAATCAAACTTGCTCAAATAAATGATGCAAAGTAGCAAAACAAAATTTTAACGTCTTTAAAATACTAATAAAAAACGATTAATAATAAAATTAAAATAATGTTTTATTTGGCTATATATGAGGCAATTATTATCAATCATTGACAAAAAAGCAAATAAAAAAAATGAAATAACAGTTTAAACATTGGATATAAATAAGTAATATAGCATTGATTCAAAGTTGTATTTAAAATTCCCAGTTATATTCCGATAAGTTCTAAAAAGTGTATAACAAGTAACAATGCATTTCCGAACTCTAGAAAAAGTCAAATTAAATTTTAAATCTTATCTTATTAAAATTAAATTCAAATTGAATTTAAATGATTTTAATAAAAATAAAAGTGTATAATAAAATTATCTAAATTTCTTCATGCATAAAAAAAGTATAATTCACAATACGTACGTATTAATAAAAGAAGTAGCATCTTCTAAATTTGCAAATTCTGTACCAGTTGAAGATAGTGGAAGGCTTACTGAAATTTTGTGGTTTTGCAAAACTTGCGCCTCTACATAACCTATTCCATTGACATCACAATAAAGCCATCTTTTACCAGGAGCACCCATGTCATGAAGTTCTTCTTCAGAATCAGATAGGAGGTCAATAACGACATTTTCAGCCTCATTAATGATTAGTTCAGGCTCATCATCTGAAGTATCTCCCTTGGAAATATCATCAGTAGTTGAAGTTGTGCCAATATCTGTATTTTCTTTCCTTAGCAAGCTCCTAGACGAGGTAGAATTTGCATTGAGTATTGTAGTATTGGCTGAATTAACCTTGGGACTATTTTTTAACATTATTTTGTTGTTCGATATTTGGGGGACAGCTTTTTGCAGAACAGTTCTCTGTTTTGTATTCGAAGAAGCTTCGTCTGTAATAGACAATCTGTTCAAATTCACACTACGACTTATCAACGCGTCTCTGTGTCCATTTCTATTTTCTTCTTGGGTATGGGATTGCCTTCTTATAAAACCAATTCTATTGTTATTAGGTGAAAAATCAGACTGTAATCTTGACAAAGGTCTTTTATCGCGAACAGATTGTGTATTATTGATTGCGGCTGATTCTCCTTGAGGTTTAGGTAATAACTTTGGAATACTAATCATTTTTGAGGTATCAGGTTGAGGTGATTGATGCATTACATTCGTAGATGATTGTGTTTTATTCAAAGTAGTTTTTAACAGGCTATTCGGCGATGTACCTTTAATTTGGGCTAAAGAAGTGTTATTTGGATTAGTGATAATTGAACTTGAAACAATTTCTTTGTTGTCATCTGATTCTAGTCGTAGAACAAGGCTTTGATAAGCCCGCAAAAATTTTATATCATCGCCATAGAAACACATCCAGTACCCAACTGGTCTGGGTTTCCTTTTCAAGACAGTGCGCGTATATTCCGACAAACCAAGAATCTTATTGCGCCAATAAATCTGTTTGGTTATCAAACAATCTTCTGAGAGGCCGTAAGGACCAATAAAAACACCATCTTTACACCATGGTACCGCCAAAACTACCCCTCGTTCATCGGAATTTAAATTGTTCTGTTTGAATTTAAGGCGCACGTAGACGTTTTGTTGGTTCGCTGTCTGGATGGCGTTTATCAACTGAAGATAGGTTACCCTATAACCTTTGCGAGTAGATGTGAGTAAATTAAAATTTTCTTTCATTGAAACAAAAAGATATCGCATACCACTTAGAAATGGTAACGGTTCCAGTTTGGAGAAATTGTCTGATAAAGAACTGCTCCAATTTGAAAAATTTGCAGAATCTAAGTTTGGATTTTTATTAGCAACTCCATTTAAATCATTATTTAACGTAGAAACTGTAACATCTACCGTCAAATTAGAATTTTCATTTTTATTTAAACCAGTTCTTACTTTATCACAGTCTACATCTTTGCTATCAGATAAACGTCTCCTTTTTGCAAGTATCTCTTTTTGCTGATTTTCTTTGGAAATATATTTTGTAACTGAGACACTCTTACCATTAGAGATCGCTGACAATTTTCGCTTTTCCGAATCTTTGACAACATTCGCATCAACTAATGTAGCTTCAATTTCTGTACGACTCTTTAACAATTCGCTATTCAAAAGCATATTGGATTTGTTCACATTATTCTTGCAACGTTGGCTTGTTCCGTCTTTAGGTTGCACATTATTCGCGAATTCGTTAGATTTTCCTTTAACAATCGTAACTTCTTTTACACTGGGCTTAGTCTCCTTTTTCGATTTATATCCCTTTTCAATAACACCTTCTAATGTCCAGTGAGTAGGAAAAGCGCGCATGAAAACATATTGCAATTTGTGTTTGCAATCCATTAATTTCTGACAATCAGCATATATTTTTAAAGCAAACTTTGGAACATTAGCAATATTTTTCTTTGCGATTGCTGGTTCTAACGTTTTCATATCTATACAATTAGAAATTGGTGGCTTTACACCAGTTGTTAATAAAGCCATAGTTCCGTTTTGTTCAGGCTTTGTTTCAAGCCACAACTTTATCTGACTATTCTTATACTTACAAAGCATTTTATACCATTGAAGGCATTGAAACTCGTACAACCAAGGTTTTGAAATGTCAAAATAAGCATCCAGAGCTCCTTTTTGGTTCAACATTCTTATTATTTCTTTGTTTACCATAGAGCTCATTGCCTTTTGATCTTTTTGCGGCAATGGGGATGATATCATATCGACTACTTTTGTTTCAATTTGTTTGGATGAAACTATCCCTGGCGCTGGTTTAAGAGGTGGAGGACCCAAAGACAAAGGCAAAGCATGTTTTACTGGTGTGATTTTTATTGGAACGGCATCATCATCAGCATTATTTGAATTATCCATCGTATTTCCTGAAAAACTACTATTAGATACAATCTGGCTGCGTTTCACTAATATTTGTAATCGCCTTAATGATTCTGGATTTGCATTTTTTTCGCATATTTCATTGAAACGTTTTTGCGTTTCTTTTTCGCTTAATTCTTTTCTGTCACGCTTAGATGAATAAGGTTGGTCAATTCTAGCGCATCGCATTGATTTTTTCATATTATCTCTTTGCTGTCGTATAGTTGTTTCAATATAACTCATGTCATTTTTACTAGTTTTGGAAACATCCTTAGCTACGAAATTCTTGCCTAAAACACTAGTGGTAGATAAAGTAAATTCACGAAGCAAGGACCCAGTATCTCCATCTTTTTTATCGGAGGATATTTTGTCTGCCATTTGGTTTAAGTCCCAAGGTGATTTGATTTGTAATCGCGGCTGTTTGGTTACAATGTTGTCACTTTTATCTTCCTCGATACTGGAACGCATTCTTTTCACACAATCATTTGATCTACGTCTTACGCTCAAATCTTCGTCGGAAATATCTGAATGTTTTGCAGACGCGCTACTAGAAGAATTTCTACACTTAGATCTATACGATGAGTCTACATATTTTGATGATTTAGCATCTTTACATTTTGAAGGTATGGGGCTATGAGTTTCTTTATATTTCGAAGAAACAATTCCAGATGTATCTCTATGTTTTGAAGATGCAGCATATCGATATTTTGAAGATGCTGGACCTGGCTTACGTCTGACATATTCAGTTACATCTGAGGATTCTTCGTTACCTATATCACTGGAAAAACACTCCACATGCCAATTTTTCTTACGTGCAGTGCTTTTATCGTCTGTTTCTAACAAAATCGTCCTATTAAGCGTTTTTATAGAAAGTTCACTTTTTTTTGTATCTTCAGTCTGATCTGTAACATCTGGTGAAATATCACGTTTTCTTTCTGCAAATGGTTCACCAAACGCATCCTTACAATCGCAAAAACATCTATATAATTCATGCACCATGCACCAAGGTTCAACATCCTTCAAACCAAGATTGTAAAGCCGCACTTCTAAATTACGCGGTAATAGTAGTTTTTCTTTTGGTATAATTGGTGTTCTAATAATTTTTCGTGGTTCCGGTATTTCTTCAGAATTTTTAGTTGGTGATAGAGACTGAGACGGAAAAACTGTCAAATCTGAAGATATGTAATCATCGAAACGTTTGGGAACTTTAACAGATCGTTTCCGTTTTTCTGTATCGCCATCCACTAAAGTGACGCTATGATCTTGATTTACTACAACTGCGTGTTTAAATTCTGCTTCTACCGGTGCTAGTCCGCTACAAACGCGATCTTTTAATTCCAACATATCATCTTCGTCAATAGCATTATTGGATAATACACGTTTCTGTCGAAGACGGTGTGTATATTCGCATTTGCATTCAAACATGCATTCCACGTTACCGCAATGCCTTTTAATACCAGAGGCCAAACATTTTAGAGAAGAACAAATACAACCTAAGCGGCAATAATCTTCCTCGCAGCAAACCGTGTTATTAGACGCACACTCTTTTGCTTCAATAACCGTAACGTTCAAACGGCGTAGTTCTAGAGCTGTTTTTCGTACGTGCGAAATTGCGGTGGGTTCAGGTTGTGGCTGCGATGTCAGTAACTTTTCTGGTGACTTTGACAATGCCGCCGCGTCGGGGTCAACTTGAAGTATAGCATCACCCAAGAACGATGTTTCTACATAATCAAACATACCAGACAACATATTAGTTATTATTTTTTTATCGTCAGATGCGAGCTCCTGTTTTTCGCTTGCATTTTGTGACGATAATAAACCATCCGTTTCTTTTAAACGACATAATACTTCTTTCTGACCATTTCGATACTGAAGAGGAAACAAATACTTGTCTTTATTTCTATATTCATTAAGCGCTGTTGCTGCAAACATAGCTCTCCTTACATCAATTGTTTCAGAAAAAGCAGATTTCAAATATGTTTGTGCTACAGTATCTAATGGGCTGTTGCATTTTGGAAACACTTCTAAGTAAACTCGTGGCAATTTTTTGCGAGTGTGTGAACCATCCCCAAAATCCATTTCACGAATTAAGAGATGTTTTCTACTTAACGGTCCTGGTAAAAACTGTGATTGTTGATCTGAATCAGTGCGCTTTATAGTTTTAGTAGACTTCTCTAAAATCTGATCGGATGAAGGTGGAGGTGTTAAAAATCTCTTACTACCTCCACGACTTCCGCATATTCGAACATATCTACCGTCTATCATCATGAATTGTTGACGAAAGGTGGTGTTTGAACTTTGTAAGTCAGTTGCACGATTCCAGCTTAGCCGAGTCATAGGAGCATTGTCGTATAATAATCTTTCTCTAACATCACTGCTTTCTGTTCGTTTGTTATTGGACTTCTGACGAAGTATCTGACGTTCTAGAAGTTGATCATTAATTTGCATTTTGGAACGCATTTCTGATTCAAACTCCCTTCGTAACAAACGTCGCTTTTCCGCCAGGGTTTTGGGTTTTACTATTTTCCCATTAGGTAAAGCTATTTTAGTTGGTCCTAAAGTTGGGGAAACACTCATTCTAGAATTCTTTTTCGTTCTCATTGAATCACTGGAACTCGGCGAATTTAGCCCTAGATGTTCATTCAACGAATTTTCTTGCCGAAACATATCATTTCCAAATTTTAAAATTGATAAAATATCGTCTTTTTCAGAAATCTTTCTTGACCGTAAAGCTCGTATTCTTTCGATAGCATCATCTAGTCTAGGAGTAGACGATTGATTTTCTTGAGATATACCATTTTTGTCATACTCTTTTTCTAAAATTATCGCATCTGAACAGTCAAAACTTTGACTTTTAGGTTGCAAAACTGGTTTGCAATGTATTGATGAATTTTCTATTTGATCAGTATTTTCTGAAGAATTATTATGATATTCCGAAGTTTTGAAAATTATATTTGTAGAATCACTTTTTTGAGTATCATTTTGAAGTCTATATTTGAGGCTTTTGTATTTCGATTTATCCAAGCTTTTTACTGAACACCCTGAAACTCCGCCATTTAATGGAATCGCAATCGTCTTCTCAGACATCGATTTATCAAATTTTTCAAACAGCGATTTGGAACAGCACGGCATGTCCATTTGTTCTAAAATACATATTTATTTATTGGTAATTATTAATAATATGTGTTTTATGAAATTATTTTTATTTATCAATAGATATAAAAAATTGAGAATTTGTAATCTTTATGATTTTATGTCGATATTTTTTTTAATAAGGTATGTATTGATTTGGGAGCAAACCAGGGGGCGTAGCTACCGCTGTATCAGCCGTATCAATTATATGGGGCCCCCAAGCTAAGGGTGTCCCCAACGATCATAAGCAGAAATAGATGAAAGCTGTAAACCCAAACAACGATTTTCCAAAAAATCAAATAATTTTGACATAGTTGACTTTTCTTTTGTTATCAAAAGGTATTGAATTTTATTTTAGTTTTTTTTAAGCCTAACGCTTTAAGAAAATTTATATTCCGCTACGCAATATATAAAAATAATAAATTTCAAATTTTCGTATGTACTTTCCAAAGACGATGATATCCACAATATTTTGCAATTAAGAAAAGACAATTATACATGTGTTTCTAAACTTAACTGATGATAAAGAAGCGCTATATTAATAATTACTTCGACAGTAAAGTAAAGTAGTACAGCTTTTCCACATCCGATAAGCTAATATTCTTGTGGATCGTGGATACAAATAAAACAAATCTATAAAAATGAACAGATCTATAAAACTAATCAAGTTTTTACAATTTTTCTCCGAATATTGGAATTTCATATTTGTTTTCTTTACTACTTGAATCGCCAGATATTTTTTCACTCTTTCAAAAAATTAATTCCATTTCTGAAACTTTGCAGCATGCCAGCAATGGCTTACAAAAAACAGTATTTTTTTTGAATAATTCTTCGCGACTGTGACTGTGTGAATTAAAACATTAAACTTGATTTAATAGTTAAAGAAGTCCAAGAATTTAGCAAAAGTTAATGAAGCGTTTCCTTGATAAGATATACAAGATGAGAAAATTTTAGACGCCAAATTTTATTTCAAGTTAATGTATACTATTGTTAATGGGATTATTATTTTCATAAACCAAGAAAGATATTATTCATTTTATCAAAAAATATCGTCGTTTTATTGTTAATTCAATGGTCTTGCATCCAATTTTTTCGACGTAATAATTTGCATGTATTCTTCCAGTTACAGTCGTAACTGCCGAAACTGTTTTGTTTTCTAAATAAAATAATTAAACAACGAACTTAAAGACAGCAACGTCTATCAGACCTGCCACTAATGTCCGTAGAAGCAGATACTTTAGAAAAACTAAAAATATCATCACTCAATAAATCAATTTCTCGAAAAAACGCAAGAAAAGTGAATATTTATTTGCAATTATTTGTAAAAAATCTTTACTCTACTTAAGAGGGCCCAAAACAGATTTTGATACTGGACGGCCAAGGCACACTACGCACCTGGTGCAAACGATTACTATGAAATAATATTTGTGTTTGAAACGGAAATATGATTAATAATGCAGTTTAGCTACTCATTATTTCGGAGTTAAAGCGAATAAAGAAAACTTTGCTTACAAATGCATGTCCTCCGCCACAAAAAGTTATAAGCGTATAATATAATATGAAAAAAATATTACAAAAATTATGTAATATTAGGCGGACTTTACATATTTTCGCGTAGAAAGTTGAGCAAGTCATCAAAATCATAAGTGGCTTACAGACTTCTCACTTCCGACAATGAGGAACAAATTGAAATATTTCATACTCCTAAAATTAATCAAGTATTTAATCAATTAAATTTTTTATATAAAACATTTATTTGAAAAACTGTTCAATTCTGGGATGCAATCATGTATATTTTTTATATAAAAAATTAAAAAAAACGAGTTTAGTACTAGATATTGAAAATATAGCAGGTATGAATATAATTTTGCCAATATAACACGCATGGAAAATTAACACACTTAAATAAACCAGGGTCGTATACGAGGCTACCCTCGTATCAGTAATATCATTGGCAGGGAGCCTCCGGGCTACAGAACCTCCCAAAATGCGTAAGCAAACATTAATAAAAAATCATATTTATATCTGAGAAAAGAAAATGTGAATTATAGTGAAATTACTATAATATTACTAAATTTAATTCCGAAAAAAATGAACGTGAAATGTAAAAAAAATAATTTTGAAGTTATAAATTTTCCGGGAAAGAAGAGGGAGGGACTCAACGTGCACAAACAAAATTCTTCCCAAATTTTCTTTTATTTCACAGGCAATTTAATGATGAAAACTTTCAACTTAATCATGTGTCTAAAGCTTTGCAGCATGCAAATACTAAATAATAGAAACTTATTGTTAGTACATTGTATTAAGTCATTTCTTGAATAGATTGTGCGAATTAACAAATCAAAGTTAATTTAAAAGTATGATAAATGACTCTACAGATTTAGCAAAAGAAAGAAAGCAGCGTGAAAACTGTTTTTAAAAAATAAAATGCTAAATATATCGAAGAGATAATTTGAAAAGTTATCGAAAGATGAAATAAATTCAGATTTCGGGAAGTTGAAAGTGATTTTAAAATGTTTGTATAAATTTCGTAAAAAGTGACAGATAAAATTTGATGATGAATAAATAAATATGCATTGATTTTTGTATTTGGTGATAAATTGTTACTCCTAGGGACCTCAAATAAATTTTGATACCCATATAAATGAAATTGGAGTGCTTTATTTCGTTTTTTAATACATGCATATGAATATATTTAGGGTACATATACCAAATTAATGACTTCAAAATATAATATATATATATATATATATATATATATATATATATATATAATCTTGTTACAAAACTACATTACCTAAAGGTCAGTTTTAAAATCAAAAGCAAAACATGTTTCAGTTAATATTGTTAGTTTATATATTTATTTTATTTGTAATGTATATGTAATTATTTTACAAAACAATGTTTTTTGTGTTTTTTTTCTGGTGTGATACTGTTAACAAATAATTGCTGAATGATGACACACAATCCGTGTCGAAACGTAGATTTTAAATAAATATTTTATATTTATTTGTTTCTTTTATTTCGACTAGCGACGACTGGCTTAGAATCTTATAAATCTTACTCTATTTTAAATTAAGCAATTTAAAATGCATTACATGATTACTATCTTTTACCTTTAAGTAATAATTATAAGTTATTATTTGTCTTCGATATTCAAATTTACATTGATATTGATCAATTATTTATACATTTCTTTATTTAGTTAGTACCGTTGATAGTGTTGGTTTTTTCCTAAAATAAATATTTATAGGTTGGATTTTTCATTTTTTAAAGTACACTCATAAGTTCAGATTTGAAGGAAAGTCGAATTTCTATGGAAACACGCAAACTTCGAAAAATGTGGTTTTAGTCCTAAAAATCGTGCGCCAAATATTGTTTATAAAGAAATCTTTCAGTAAAGCTACCAAACAGAAAATCAGGCAATTAAATTAAAAAGGCAAAACTCTTAACTTTCTTGTTAAATTCTACAAAGTCGCATGTACAGCTAACATTATAATATAAATGTTCTTCAGAATGCGTACGTCATAACATAAAATGCCTTTGATTTTTATCAATATTGCGACTAAAAATGTTATAGTCACCAAATTATTATGCATATAAAAATTACAAATTATGCAAAAGCGACGTCTTTGCTAGCTAAAAAAACAATTACTACAAGAACCAGTTCACTCAAATGTGGGAATACACAAATAAACTTTCTTTTATAAATATTAAATATCAATATTGAAGTAAGAAATGAACATAGAATAATTGATATTTATGAGTAAAAATAGCTTTATATAATATTATTATTTCATATTTTCAAAAGTTAACTATCTAAGAATATGGGATACGAGAAGATTTTTGAAAATTTGAATGATTTTCGGAGATAAAGCTCCAAACTGGTGTGGCAGGGTCTACTCGGGCAAAAGGCATTAGGAAGTCATTAGATCAATTTAAGACAGTTTATCGTCAGATGAATTATTAATTCGATGTACAGTTTCAGAAACTCAGAACAATAATGAACCTCTAAACTCGATGATTTGGATTTTCGCGCCGAAACATATGCATTCCCGATCTCGGGTAATTGAAATAGCAACATTTATTGCTGTTTGCATATTCAATGAAGGTTTCTTTCCGATTTAAAAATGATGACCCTTATGGTAATGCAAATTGGGCCAGAAACTCATTCAATCATTGGATGCATTGGATTGGAAGAGAGAAATGCAGAAAATAGTTTTTTTTTTAAAGTAGAAAAAGATCCGATGCATAAAGCAGAAATGGTAGATTAAATAAAAGAAGTATAACATATCATTTTATGACTTTGACAGCAAAAAACTTCACGTCAGACTTTTTCAGTACTGTTAACACGATTTCTCGAGTTCTACTCGGCCGATTCAGTTGGAAAAGTAAAAACATTCATTGCTTTCTTTTACGACACTTTAAAAATGACCTAAAATTCATTGATCTACACTAGAATACCCCCTTAATCAGGGGCGTAGCGTGCATTGACGGGGCCCCGTATCAAAATTCTCTTTTGGAGGCCCCTTCAGGTAGGGCAAAATTTTCTCACAAAAAACTATAAAACAAAAAGAAATTTTTATTTGTCATCAATATTTATCTATCCATTTTCCAAGATTTCTACAAACAATTCAAATTCAATTTATAGCTTATTTATAACTTTTATAGCATTTATAGCTTATGACGGCTGTAGTTTTTCTAAAGTTTATGCTACTATGAACAATGATTGATTGACTGCTGTTTCTGTATCGTTGAGGTATTTAACTGCCCGAAAAATAAGTTTATGTTTTTGTCAGAAAATATTTGTTTTTTCAATGATAAACCGAGCCGTTTCTTTGAAATTGGGAGAACGGTACTAAAATTTTCGTCCTCGTTTCAAAATCAAAAACTGTTCGGATATATCGACCGGACCGCATATACGTAATTAGTTGTAGAACAAAAAATTCAATTTTGATAAAACTTTCCATGATCATAACCATCACAAATACTAAAATATTATGAGCCTGCGAAGTCATTAATATTAAAAATTCATAAAAATTTGGAATAAATCTGAATTTTTATGGATTGGGTCGATTATTTACACATATCGGAAAATACTCTCAAAGTTTCATAGCTTACAAATAGTTAGCTAATTTTTTAGCAGTTTTGTTTTTGAAAATCTTCTTTCAGCGTTTGCGGTGGCAATTGGAAGGGTCACAGATAAAAGCATGTTATTAGTACCTCGGGAAAATTGTATTGAAGACTATTGAATTTGGTCAGCAATATAAATAAATACTGAATTTCATATTTTGAACATATTTTAAGAGCTTAGTTCACAATTTGTTATAAAAATTAACAGGGATGATCTTACTGTATTCAGGCGAAAGTTTCGTGGAGACAGGTGTTTGTTTGTTAAATGACTCCAGTTGTAATATTTCGAATATACTAATCGAGTCGAAGTCTCTGAAATCTTTGCTTAGTTTGAGAAATTAACAATGTTTAATTAGCAATAGTACATGTTGAGTTTGAAATAAGATTACGAGTCGTTATACTTTGTCTTTTGTTTTTAAAAACAGTCTTTACACTCCATTCCTTTGCTAATTTTTAAACAAACTACTAAATTAATTTTGATTTTTTAATTCCCACAATTTATCCAAGAAATAACTTGATAAAATGCTAGTTTTCTATTAGTCATTATTTGCATGTTATAGAGCTTTAGAAGAATTAAAGAAATGTGGAAAGCAATTAGTAGCATAACCTTCTAAAATTAAATTTTTACATTCGACACGCTCATGTTTTTTTTTCGAAATAATATTTAGTTGGAAGAAAGTTTTCATAACTTTTGTTATTAGTGAAATAAAACAAAAATTCGTTGGATTTTACTAATTTTTCCGCATGTTTAAGGCTCCCGGGGCCCGGGCAAAATAAAACTTCTAAGAATAATAATCTTACATTTCTTGCGTACTTTTTTAACGACCTTAAATTTCATTGAACATAGTTTTCGCTTTTTAGGAATTTGTTTTGTATTATTAATGTTTGTTTACGGACGTTGGGGGCCCCCCTGACTCGGGAGCTCGGGATAATAGTGTTCTCTTCTGAGACAAGGATTGGAGTGCTCCGAAAAAAGGCTAAAAATTGAATACTATTTATAAAATATTTTAGATTAAAAAAGTAACAATGCTTAAATGTTTGACCATTTACATACATAATGAGAGTTTTCTTCGCCAAATTAAAATAAATGAGGGCTGTAATATTTTCCTGTCAAAATAAATTTACAATAATTAATTACATGTTCAAACAAAATAGAAAGAAGTCATGAAGAAGAGGAGGTATACTATGCGTGGCTTTTTACATTAATTACTAGGAGAACTGGATCTCTTTGTTAACGCTATTATAGCAACAAGTAATTGTGATTTTAAGTAAAATATTATTAAACAATAATAATAGTTCTCAAATTAAAGCTTATTATTAGTTACGCGTGAAATAACAAAATTTGAGCCATAACAAAATCAATAACAAGAATGGAACAATGCTTTCGATGCGTGAAACGTAATTACAAAATTTTTGACGTATAGAATGATCGTGTGTTTACCATTTATTAATATAAGCATACATTTCAATCAGTCATTTTTAGCATTACGAATAGATCTGTTTCATGATTATTCATTGGTTTGTTGTAATGGTTTATATCACAATACAGCGACGAAGTATTAAGTAATTATAACATTAAAATTACCCAGCGTTTATGAATTCATTTTGATGGATGGGTGCTCCTTGATGCAGTGCAACCAAATTTAAAACAATGAAAGTGTTTTGGAACATCATTTTTATGATGTTATGAACAAAATATACAAAAATAATTGAATAAATGTATTTATTACTTTAAATAAAAATAAATGAACTGAATCGTTTAAACGTAATGACGGATGTATTTTGAGGTTAGGTAATACGAAAATTACAAAAGTGTTCCTTTTTGGTAATACCTATTAAGATCTAACTTTTTAGTTTTATGAAAAAAAAAATAACTTTTAAAATATGGAAATTGTTTATTGATTTAGTTTAAAAATATATATATTCAAATTACTCACCTTTAATATTAGGTAGTGTAGTATCTTCTTCGACAGCTTTCTTATCTTCTTCAATTACACTTTTCAGTAATATTCGTTCTTCACAGTTATCTTCAATTTCATTTGATATGATTTCACTATCGTTACTATTCTGTTGTTTACACTTCTCTCTAAATATTTTCAATTGTTCAATAATTTCTGTCCGAACATTTTCATCACAGTTTATTAAAGATCTTCGAGCACTCACCAAACTAGTCCAGTGATTGTCATTTGTTTTCATTTTTTTAGGAAGAGCTGAATTAAATTTCCTGACATTTCTTTTTATTATTGGACGACGAATTTTTTTTGTTTTTATTATGGATTTTAAGTAAGGTTTGATCAGCAAAAACTGTTTTTTATTTTTTTTTATTCGTCTTTTAATAATATGTTTAATTCTATTTCTAATGTGCACCTTATTAGGCATATGTATCTTCTTCTTATTTTTATTTTTTTTATTTCCTTCGAGTAATATATCTTCGTAGTCTGAATTATCATCACTAGATATCGAATTAATAATAATGTCATTAATGCTGTCTGCTGTTCCATTGTTGGAATGAATAACATGAACTCCACCTGTCACAGCAACAATTTTTGGCATTAATATTTTGGTGCCATTTGAATTTTCTTCAAAATTTTGGAAATCATCTGCTTCATTGTTATCGTTCGACAACATTAAAATACTTATTCCAGCTCCATCTAAATCTTTATCAGATATAGCCAAATCTGTACTTTCCAAATAGTCATCTTTATTAACTTCTTCATCACTTTCAATTATTATTACTTCTTCAGTTTCCTTAAAACTATGGCTTATCAAAGTTGCACTATCCATGTTGCCAGTGTCACTACGAATTATTATTCTGAAATGCAGTATTTGAAATATAAACAATATATTTTAATAAAAATTAGTAAACATGATACGGAAATGGTTTATAGTTGATGATTTATTCGCTTTATGAATACAGAAGTAGACGCCATGTTGAATGTTTGACAACATGGCGTGCACGTGAAAATACGTTAAATATATTTTGACGAAAATAAACTGAAAATACTTTAATTCTAGAAATTTTCATAATTGTACTCGAGCTAAAATATGTTTAATCAATAAAAAGTTGTTTTTTATAAATATTATAATTACCTAAATATAGCCTGCTAAATATCTAAATCAACTTCATCCTAGTAATTTATAAATAATTTTAAATTTTTTTGCATAATTTCAACACTTTTTAACACTTACTTATAATTAATAAAACATGCGCAACTTCTATCAACGGTTATCAAAGATATATTATATAACATTACACACACTTCACGTCAGTTTCTAGGATAAAAGATATGTCAAAAAACAAGGATTCTTGTCATCATGATATTAACGTGTAAGTACGATGTTGCTAGGTGAATTAATATATCACATACACAGCACTATTTTGAATTATCTATATCAACATTTAAACAGATTATTATTGCACAACAAAATAATTTACTTTAAAAATTAAACTCCACGGAGCGACGCCTTAATGTTGCAAGTTGTCATCGCCATTTTGCAAGACCACCTATAGGTAACTTTTTGAAGTTTTGGCGGAAACTGCAAGCCTTTGGGTAATCCGCCATTTTGTATTTGGTAACTTAATGGCCAAAACTATTGAATTATTTGTTTAAAAATAACAATAAAGTTAATAACTATTCAACACAAACACATTTATATGTGCCTATAGATAAATATATTATATCTATAAGTTTATTCGAAATACTCGAAATAAATCGAAATAAATATGTAAGAAATAATAACTATCAAAACTGCTCAATTTCACCAAATCAATATAAAAAATAATATCAGAATCAAATTCTTAAAAATTAATCTCTTCCGGTATTTCGTCATAATTATAATGCAATAGTTATCAGTAAATAATCATTTTTATGGTAAATTATAAAAATAAAAATTAAAAGTTTGTTATAATTATAATATAGGTTAAGTTGTAATAAAGCTGTTTTAATAACTTGATCAATAATTAATTATTAATTAAGTATGTATGGCGACATGACTATGATGACAATTGATAACCGAAGTGAACTATACAACATATTCTAGCAAACCTTTATGTAACAATGCACGCTTGCAAAAAAAAACTGCGGCATGAAAATTATATGCAATATGCCTATAAATAGTAAATGTGCGCATTGAATTTTCAATACTAGAATCAATCACTATACTTATCAACAATTGGAAATCTTTTATTTGTCTGTCGTAACTTCTTGACTATTTTTCCTAGCTAATTTCTCTTGAAAATGACTTATGATATTTTTGCTTATCAAGTATTTGTTTTAACTTCCCTATTTTGAAAAGCTGTTTCACATTTTGATGATTATATTTGTAAATGATAACACATTCCAGCTTAATAATACATACATTTATCATTAACTTTAATTTTCATGTATATGATTTAAAATAGTTAATAAAATAACTAGTTAATTACTCTTGAATCATGAAACATTATATTAACATGAACATCTATTATGTGTTGTCTAGGATATATTATTACTACAATATCTTTATCCTTAAATACCGACAATATAATAATTATGATTCTTACATCTCGATCACAGCTGTATAACAATGAGGTTAGGAATTTTTTCATCAATAAATGTCAGATGTTCCGATTTTTTATTGCGATTTATTTGTAAATCACTTCGATGACTGAGGTCCTAGATAATACATAATGGATTTAGATATAAAACCACATAGCAGTTTAATTATGTTGTGTTATTTAAGGTTCGTCCCTTCATAGTTTCGTAATTAAAGCCAAATGAAAATATCCGGTTAACTAAATGAAATATGTATTTATACAGAAAGGCACGATTTAGAAGGTATTTTAAATTATCGTTATATAATGTATCATTCATATTAATATTATGTATATTATTTACAGGCAATTAATGCTGATTATTAAAATATTCATGATTCTATCATTGTTTATATTTATTGTTTTTCCCTTCATTTTCAAAAAATCTGTTTTCCTACAAAAGGCGATTGTATTCATGAATTTTGGTATGTAATAATGTATTAAATAATTTATAATGTAATTTAGATATATCATACATATTGCAATAGAGTATGTAATTTTAGTGAAATATGATGAGCAGTTTGACTTTACACAGGCTGATAACATAGAAGGCATAAAAAACATTTATATTTTTTACTGTGATCCTGAGATAAAAATTTCTACATGCATAATTACGTTAGGAATTTGGCACATCATTCCTTCAAATGATAATAAGTTTATAATTAGCGCAGATAAGAGCAACTTAATACAGTATGATGCATTTAAGTTCAATAATATGTATGGTAAGGGACTGGTTGCAGAAAAACAATACACTATCACTTTTGACTCTTTTTACTCCTAAACATCAGTTGTGAGAAGCCAACATTTCATAAGCAATTAATAATTCTACAAATATTCTTCTGAAGTTATCTTAGGTTTTATCTTTGCAATCGATTTATTCCTCTTATTGTTTATCAAATAATTACATAACAAATCTACTTCCAGAGCTCTTGCTATGTGAATAAATGCTATTCATTTTACAAAACCAGTTGTAATTTTCTGTGATAAATTTTAGAAAGAATAATCTGAATGATTCCAAAAATGATTATGTTATTTCTGATGTGCGTGCATCATTTTCTAATGATGAGCAGTTGGCATCTTCTTGGAGTCTTGGCTGTGGAGCTGAAATGGCTGATGGGAAACCTGTAGTATTATATCTTCATGGAAATACTGGATCAAGAGCTTTAAATTACAGAATTAATACATATAAATTACTTCAAAAACTTGGATGTCATGTAGTAGCAATGGATTACAGAAGTATGATATAAAATAATCTTATGAAATCTTCAGTCATAGTTTAACACTCCACAATTTTGTTTTAGATTAACTTAAATGTTAGAAACAAATATTATAAAGACTTAAAATTTTGTTATCTTAAAGGTGTAAAAAATTAAATTACCTTAAACGATATATATTAGAATTTAAATGCTTAATATTTCAAAAATTTTACATATTTGCTGAGCTTAAACTCTTTAAATAACTTTAAAAATGATTAAAATGACATCAATTAAGTTAATTTTTATGTAACATTTTAATATATGTAAAAAATTAAAATTTAAGGCTTTGGTGATTCCACAAATATTGAACCTACGGAAAATGGTGTTGTTAAAGATGCTATAGCTGTGTACAAATGGATAAGTTCTATCGCTAAAGGCCCCATTATATTATGGGGACATTCTCTAGGTAAGATTAAATGTTAATTTATTAATTGATCATAAAATTTATCCATACTCTTGCAAAGGCTGACCAATTATACTGTGATAGGCAGTGCTGTAGCTACACACATGTTATGCAGCATCCAAAACAAAATGAATGGTCCAAATATTGTTATTTTGGAAAGTGCTTTCACTAATATGTATGAAGAAATTTATGCCCATAAGTTTTCTTTGGTATGTCTCATTGTTTGCTTATTTTTAGTATTTCAGAAAATAAACTAAACATTTTTCAATAGTTATTCAGATTCTTGCCTTGGTTTGATTATACAATAAGACAAGCAATTATAGAAAATGGTATAACATTCAATTCTGATCAATATGTTTCTTGTTTTCATCAACCTATTCTTTTTCTGCATGCTGTAGATGACAGAACAGTTCCTTTAGAACTAGGATACAAGGTATATTACAAGCAAGTTATATATACAATTCAACATACATTTTAGTGTAATTTGAAATTATTATTTATATTATTTTTGTATATTAGTTGTTTAGAACTGCTAGACGTGGTAGAGACAAGTCATGGGGACCTACTGAATTTCATAGGTATGCTGCTTCCAAAAATCTTGGGCATAGATATATATCTTCGGACAATGATACACATTTCATAGTAAGGTAAGAATTTATTGTATTTTTTTGTTTGCTTTTATTTCATACTAATTATTAAATATAGTAAATAGGAATTTGTGAGCATATTATTCATTTTGTTATCTGTTTTTTATTTTTTATTTTAAGCAAATCTATTAGATAACTTTTGTAGATAAAACATTTTTATTTAGATAAAAAATTTGCTAAGTCAATGACACAATTATTGTCATTCTTACCATTACTTTAGAGCTCAAGATTTCCCCCTATGAGTAGTAGTAGCATTGTTTCCAAACTTTGTAATGCACAATATAAGTTTGATTATTTTGAAATAATGATATATTTTTTTGTCCAGAGATATACATCAATTTTCATCTGATAATATTTTCCAAAATTGTTTGGGATCTATCTGGTTGCATTATAGACTGCACCTTGATCGAGTTACACTTGAACTTCCACAACTTTTATAATTTGAACAATAAAGATTTACACATATTATGAAAGCATTATTGTATTATTTGAATATGTACAGATAATATTGAATAAATGAATTATATTATTTTCTTCTATTTCAGAAACTTCTTAAGCTCTTATGCTGCAGAAAGGTACTGAATTAAATGATAATTTATAATTTGTTTTTAATGATTATCAATTACGAAATTAATTCAATTTAAATGTATATATATATATATATATATATATTTATATACATATATAGACTGTGCCATATGTAATATATTATATTAAGTATTTTGTACATTTGTTTTCAAAAAAATAATTTTGTTAGCAGAATATATTTTTTATAAATTTAAGATTTATTTGATTTTAGTTAAGTATTTGTACCAATATCTTTTCTATAACACATATATTTGGTGTCCAGACTTTCAATATTTCTTGGTTTTATGATTTCAGGGTTTGATTGTGTTCTCATAGCACCAATGGTGTGATTTATTGGTAATGATATATCAGTTCCATAATCTGCTAAAATATGCTTTAGTGTAAAGTATGAAGTTGATGTACTTTGAGTAACTTCAATTTGTGCAACATCACTGTGATCAGCACCATCACCATGTGGTCGTGATTTTATTTCAACATCATCAAAACTGATTAAATCGTTATTTACTGTTTGTTTGCTTGTGCTTTCACTAATGGTTGTAATGGTAGGTTGTGGGTTTAAGTTATTTATCTTATCTGAAATTTTTTTTTGTTTCTTTTTTCGAATTTTATTGGCCTTACTGTTGATATCCTTTTTCGAAAAATCGGAAGAGAAATCTGTCATGGTCGTAGCGTTTTTGATATGTTTGAGAGAAAAACATTGTTCAATAGTTAAACCAAACTTAAGTGCTTGCAAGTAATAAACTTGTTTGTTTAGACGTTGGTTGTCATGTTGTAATTCTAAATATCTTCGAGTAGCTTTTATATATGGTTTGCTGTACTGACCGGCGTAAGGCAGTTGTGTTAATGCTTCTGCGAGTTCTCGAATACGGCAGTTTAATTTATTTACTTCCTTCATCGCTTCCTTCTGAAAACCCATAAACTCTTTTCTTAATTTCTGCATTGTATTTCTAAGTTTTAGGAATTTCACACACAATTCGCACATTTGTTGATTGTGCTCTATTATAAGTTGGCGATACCTGTTATCTTCATTGGAACTATACCCTAACTGATGCTTTAAGCTGCAAATTTCATCAAAAAGTTGTTTCTTCTCTATGAGGTAAATATTCCGTTCATCTTCTAATTGCTGTTTAACTTTCATATTTGTATATCGCTGAGCACGAAGTTCTGCGCTGATCCGCTTATTGGCCTCCGTGGAGTCCGACAACCGTTGCAGCAGCGAATCTCCCGTTGATTGTGATTCTTTTAATGCCGTCCGTAACTTCTGTATTTCATGATCATTGGCTAATGACACAGTTTCACTTGATTTCCTTAAACTTTTTAACGCTTTGTTTAATTTGTTTTTTGAGGTAGATCGTTTTAAATGTTTTGCGGGAATACTCATTTTTATTTAAACTTTTCTTGTCTTAAAAATTTCGTTAGTTTCGTAGGCTTACTACTAGATTTATATAAAAGTATTTAACTACGCATGAAGTACTATTTATTTTCAATAATATATTTAACTAAACTGAGAATAAAAAAGTAGAAACTTCAAAATATACCGTTTTGTAATTTTTTAAAACAAATGAGGAAACGTTGTCAGATACAAAAAATACAAAAAGATATTTAGATATTGTTTAAATTTAATCTTGTACTGTTGATTTATGATCAAAACAATTTTATAGAATTTACCCAAAAATTTAGAATATGAAAAGGTAATCTAATATGTAAATAATTTGTATCGCTATATTGAAACATATAACGCAGTACTGTATTATTATTATATATAAGAAAATGTAATTCATTTCACACCTCTGTTCTTTTATATTTTTGCATTGTATTTTAGTAGATTTCTAAGCTTAGCAATGCTTTTACCTTATCAAAAAATGAATAAATGAGTAATTATATCAATATTAGGTCAAATAAGCATAAAACAAAAGGATAGTTGAAACTAAATTGTTTTTTGTAGTTTTAAATTTGAGTTAAAATATAAATGTATTTTTTTTAGAATTTTTAAGATTCAAGATGAGCCGAATTGTCCCAAGGTCAAGAGCCAGTGCTTCAATGAAACATCAAAACATCAAAAAATTTAAATCCCATACGGATAAATTAAGAAAAGGAGTTCCTGATACCACTAGAAGTCTTAATGATAATTTTCTGTATTCGTCGGATACAGCTAGCAATTTAACGTTCGACAACGATGATGACGGCACGCTTAATAATATTGGTTTGTTCACATAAGTTGCATAATTTTCTTATTGAAAAGTAAAACTAGCTGTAAGTGGTATTCTGTCTTAAGGCAATCAAGGCATCGTGCCTTAAGGCAAATTGCTGGAACTTCCCGTACCAAAAATTATTATTTTTTTAAAAATGATTAACATTTTTGAAAAAAATTTACTTTGAAAAAATAAGATTTTTGAGAAACTATAAATTGGACAAAAAATTACTTTTTTTGAAAAATAAAATTAAAAAAAAAATTTTTTTTATTAATTTTTTTTTTAAAAAAAAAATTTTTTCCTTATTTTGACATATTGTGGAATATCTGAACTTTTTTTCAAAGCAATCGTACTGCTTTAACTGCATAGGGACAAAATATAAAGCGCGTAAGCGCCGCGTCGCTGTCTAACGCATAAGCATTGGTACAGAACCCATAGGAATGTTAACAAAATGTATAATTATTGTTAAAATCTCTATAAAATATCTTTGGAACGGCTGGACCTGCCTTCGCCAAAAACTAATCAGCACGTTTCCTTATTAATACGAATCGAATGCTTTTTGAATTATCCAAATCGGTTGATCCGTGTTCCCGAAATCGTCGACGAAAATTTGTATTCGCACATACATAAACACACGTACATACACACACACACACACACATACATCCATTTTTTCTAAGGTATGCCAAAATGTTCAGAAACCTCTGAAACGTAAAGATAAATAAAAAATTTCATTTTCGATTTTTTTGCGATTTCGGGCAAAAATATTTATTTTTCGAATAAATATGCTTATCGAATTTCATCAAGCGGCTTTAAAATGTTTGAAACCAGAGCAGTTATGTATGAAAGGATTTTAATCTCATTTTGGTGTCACATTATACTGAAATATCTAAATAAGTTATATAAAAAGTACTTATTGATCAATAATATAGTATAAGTTATACTGTATAACTAACATATGGCTTACTCATTGTATACTCATTGTATATTATATAGATCATTTTCGAATATTTGAGGGGTAGTTATAACTTCGTTATCAAGTAATTGCAAAGATTGAATTTAAACCTACACTTTTTGAACAATTTAGATCAAAAGATCTGAATCCGGCACAAATATTGCTTTAAAGAAAAAACGGGACATAAGTTGGAAATCCGGGAATGTCGCACCAAAAACAGGACTATAGTCACTTTATATGTATTAACTTCCCGTAGGGTAAGTTATAGTAATCGTAAAAAAATCGAAAATGAAAATTATTATATATCTTTACGTTTCTGAACATTTTGGCATACCTTATAATTAGAAAAAATTGATGTATGTGTATGTGTATGTGCGGATACAAATTTTCGTCGATGATTTCGGGAATACAGTTCAACCGATTTGAATTATTCAAAAAACATTCGATTGCTGTTGATAAGGAGACGTGTTGATTAGTTTTTGGCAAGGGCAGGTCTAGCCGTTTTGAAGATACGGGGCAAAAAGTGCCACAAACGGTAACTCAGATTTTAAGAGAACGGAGTGTCCGATTTTAATAATTCAAAAAACATTTTACTTGTATATTCATATTTATATTCATATTTATATTTATATTTATATTTATATTTATATTTATATTTATATTTATATTTATATTTATATTTATATTTATATTTATATTTATATTTATATTTATATTTATATTTATTTATATTTATATTTCTATTTATATTATATTTATATTTATATTTATTTTATATTATATTTATATTTATATTTATATTTATATTTATATTTATATTTATATTTATATTTATATTTATATTTATATTTATATTTACTTGTATTGACAAGATGAACAACTGATTAAATTTTTGGGAAGGCAGGTCTAGCGGTTTCGGAGATTTAGTAAAAAAGTAAAAAAATGCCATTTTGATGTCAAAAATGATCATTAGATAGACATACGCACTTTTATTTTAAATTTTAATATCAATTTTGTTTACAGTGTTATGGGTTTCGTAACATCGTTTGCCCTTAGACTGCGATGAAGCGCTTAGCGCTTTGATATTACGTCTCTATGCAGCTAAATCAGTGCGATTGCTTTGAAAAAAGTTCAAAATTTCCAAAATATTTCAAAATAATAAAAAAACATTTTTTTCAAAAATTAAAAATTTCTCAAAAATCTAATTTTTTCAAAGTTTAAAACAAATTTAATTTAAAAAGGAAAGATTTTTGGTACGGGAAGTTCCAGCAATTTTCCTTAAGGCACGATGCCATACTCACTAGTCACTTTGTACTTCGACTATTTGGCGCAAATGAACATTTAAAGAATATTTTCGTATATATTTATAATATAAGTTAATATTATTATATATTACCGTTAACAGTATCGGTGCATTGTCCGGGTTCGTCATCGTGGCCTTACTCGATGAACGGCGTCGTGGCGGATGTTTCGCTCTTGGCTGTGGTTCCCGCCAAAGGCCGTTGGTGTGTTCGCGATTTGGTGCGAGCTGCAAGATTGCTCATCGAAACGTCTTGTCGTCCTTCTTTTAACGATGATGTTACAATGAGACGCACGATGGAACTGCTCTTTGAAATATACAAATGTAAAATCCTTAACCTTTAAATTCGGCATTTAGTCCAGTCATTTGGTCGTTTTGCTGGTACAGTACTCCGGGAATTCTGAAAATTGGTAAACTTATAGATTTCGAGGTGCTCTTTACGAAAATCAACTTTGCCACCTCAAATTTGAACGGCAAGTTGCCGCCATATTGAAAAAATGGCGTCAAAAAATAGCTGATTTTTTAACACTTCAAGCTACTTACTTAT